AATATAGTTTTATAAACCCCTGCTGATGTTACAGGTGTTCAAATATTTTGTGAAACTGTAAGAAAGCAAATCTTAATTCTGTGTCACAAAGTGTGCGATACATGTTTATTACAAGTACCAAAACAACAAACACATTGAAAAAGTAAGTACTTTTTTAACCCCTGAAAGACTAAGCCAGTTGTACAAGTTGTGATCAAAATTGAACGTAAACAAAACCTGGCATCTGCGCTATATGTCTGTCCAAACGTAATTCACCTTTTTCATATTAAATGTACCCACACTAATTATATATCATTTTGTTCAGGTGAAACAGGACTTTCATGTCACATCAAATATTTATATATTAAACATAATTTAATATAAATAAAATGTAAAAAAAATTGAAAAATTAAGATTTTTTTTATATCTTTAGTACTGCATGGCATTTTAACTGTGAATGTCATAATACTGTTAGCTGATGGTGCACTAGAATGCACATATTTGCATTCTGTGAAGTCTCATGAGTAAAATAGTACCACCCAAGTACAGGTTTTATAGTGTTTTTGGAAAGTTAGAGGGTCAAATTTAGCACATTACATTTTTTTAGTTTATACACATTGAAATTGGCCAGACCGGTTATGTTGCCTTTGAGACTGTATGGTAGCCCAGGAATGAATATTACCCCCATGATAGTATACCATTTGCAAAAGTAGAAAACCCAATGAATTATAAATGTACAGTCTTTTTTAGTAGCCCCTTAGTCACAAACACTGGCCCTCTCAGTGAAAGAGCTATGAGTTAAGTGCACTTTAACTGCAAGAACATTTGTATATTACACACTCTCTAATGAGGACAGTACAAAATGGTGACTGGGTAGTTGTGCAACAACAATAAAAAAGTAATACATAAAACCAAAAAGCTGTGGTTAATTACAGTTGTTAAAAGTTGTTAAATGTCTTCAATCTTTCTTTGTCAATCGATTACAACACTTTTATACAGCAACATTTTGTACGTTAATATAGTATGGAGTATATATAAAAGGGGTATAAGAAATACTGGCACTTTTTTAGAATGGTTAGGGTATTCTTATGGTGTCTATCAATTATATTGATATGTATGAATGTGCATGTTTAAGACTTTCTATTGTTTTTTTTTTCTTCTTCATTCTCCAGTCAAGATTAGCCTATAGGTGGAAAAAGAGAAGAAATTGTAAAAAATATATATATATAAAAGCGTGTGTAGTTAAACACTGTCTGTGACTATAGGTGCTTAATAACTGTGAAGCCAAAGAAAAAAATCATAGCAAAATAAATAAAGTTGTTTTTACACTAGTGTGGGCATATTCCTTCACACAACACGTATTGCAATAGTGAAAATAAATATATTGAGTGACAAGGTGGTAAAGCTAATGTCAGCATGTAAGAAAGAAGAACGGTCAAGATATAGATTATAAATATATAAACACTAGGGTATACATGTGCAACATACTTTAAAAAGAACAAATAAAATTATATAAAATGCAATGTTGTAAATGTAAATTCCCACAAGTCCCCAAATTGGTACACTCACATTGGGTGAAGCCAAAGGGTAGATCAGCTCAAATCTGTTAGGAGTATGTGTCTCTTTAAGGGCGCACAGTCCCTTCTTCTGTAATGTTCAATATGGATATTCCAAGGTAGACAAAAATATAAACTATACACAGCAGCACTAATAGTGCAGCATCAACAGTAGAGATGCCAATGAGATGAGTGAATGTACAATGAATAGAGCCACATAAAACCATCTGTGAGTATAAATTGCAATGTGCCTATGAAGGATTGCTCACCCAATAAGGATCAGGCAGCAAAAAGCATTTCACTGACTATTAAAACATATTTATTTGAAAAAACAAAAATAAAATATACTTACATATTTAAAATCAAACAGTCCTTTGGCTCGTTCCTACAGGACGCGTTTCACCATACAACAGCTTTCTCATTATGAGCTCCAAAGGACTTTATATATATATATATGTATAGTTTATTTTTGTTTTTCAAATAAATATGTTTTAGCCAAAACCAACAAAATCAACATAAAATGTTGGGGACTTTTAACTTGTGCTTCCCAAACAAAGGCATGCAGGATTGGTGTGCATTATAGCAAATGTAACACCCATTGAAACATAACTGATTCTCTGAACATTAGAAGGGATATTGGAAATAAATTAAAATGTGCACTTTTAATAGTATTAAGAGAATAAATACTTAATTGCATAACACGAGTCAAGGCAGAGGGCTAGAAAACTGCAAACGTCTCTCTGTCTATTTGTTGTGACAGGTTCGGTTTAAAACCAGATTATGTATGTAGAGTCTTTGGGGAATGTACAGTCCCTCTAGCATTAACTTGATAATAATAAAATAGGTCAATCAGTTGAAAAAAAAGTGCAAAAGAGTTTACAAAACTGTCTGTATTTTGCTGTCCAGGCACATAAGAAAGGGAAAGTTATTACGAATATTTTGCTTACTGCATGGAAACTTACAGCACAGGATGGGTTAATTATCCTTACTTCTATAAGCTGATGCTGACCAAAGAAAATGGTTTATACAGCATGTTCTTATCAAAAAGACTTTGAAAGACCACTCTTTAATGCTGTGCCTTATCAATGTAAAGCCATGCTTCAGCAAGCAGACTGCTACCATGTTGAGCTGATAACTAAAGATTTGGAGAAATACATCACACACATCCTGTATTAATGCAGTGTATTTCAGGAATACAGAACATGACTAATAGTGCTGATCGACCAAAAGGAACATTGCAAAACATACATAAAATATAGGTGCAAGCTTGTAAGCATGCGTAGATTGTCTGCATGAATATAACATACACACTTTTGAAATGTGGAAGAATGTGCATAGTACTGGTCAGTCTTTGTCTAGATTTGGAAAGAAGTCTCATATTTTTGCCAACTCACGGACAAAGCTAGGCTGACTCTATAACCTTTATTAGATACTTGGATGAATGCAACAATTTCATTTTCTGAGTGTTCAGCCTTTCTTCTGTTGAGCTGACATTTTATTGCATTTTTAATTTGTTCTGTAGTTTTTGTGTTTAAAGCATATTAGAAGAATAAAACAAAGGAAATTAGAAACAATGTAAAGTACACAACGTTCATTCTGGGAAACACTACCATGGCACACTAATAAGTGTACCCATTTTTGTGAATTGTTCCCCAATATTTAAAAAATCGGATATAATGCTAACTTGTTCCTTTCTTTCGAATGACAGAGATATAATTAAAATTTTACAGTAGCATTTTTTTTTGGTTGTTAATGTTACTATTGTGACAGCTTTAACCCCTTTGTATCAGGTGCATCTGACAAAAAACGGTCGTTTACGACCTTGGACATACCTGATACATCCGTGGCAAATGTAAGCAATGGAAGTGGTCATGACCGCTTCCAGCCACTATAACGATATTGCCTTGATGTCAAGGCATCCTGCAATACCTCTTCTGAGTGCTGGGCTGCTGGGTGATCGCTCCCCAGCAGCGATCACTTCTGGATTGCCCCACATGGCGCCCAGCAGTGAAGCAGAGCATCTGAAGCCATCGGGCAGGCTTCCAGTGCTCTGCCTGTGTGCTGAGTGCCTTGAGGGGTCAAGGTACTCAGTGAAGAATAACTTATAACAAAAAAATAAAGGTAAAATATAAGTATTTTAAACCCTGCCGGGACTGTGGACGTATCCACTACATCCGCAGTATTCCTATTCACTTACCCTATCACCGTCCTTCTGCCCGCCAGCAATTGGTGTTCCTCTCCATCTGAAGGCACTGTCTGACAGCCCAGACAGTCCCCCCTCAGCAAATTAGGCCCCAGTGGACCATGTGATCACTCTGGAAGAGAGGTCATATGGCCGCAATAGGCATCCATAGTGCTGCCTGCAGGGGGACTGCCTGAACTGGAAAAAAGTAAAAAAAAAAAAAAAGTCTTAAAATAAAAATATAATGTTAATAAATTATCAGATATATATACATATATTATATCTATATATAATATATGTATATATATATATATATATATATATATATATATCTTATATATAAAAAATACTAAGTGTATTTTATTGTTAATATATACATATATTAATATAAAAATACACTTAGAGTAAAATATATAAAATATATAATAACTATATATACTCTACGGCTTTATATATATATAAATATATATATATATTATAAAAATAAATAATAGTTAATTTAATCAAATGTAAAAATAATAAATAAATAATAATAATAAAAAAAAAAATTATATATATATATATATATATATATAAATATCCACAGCTCTTGCACTCCAACTAAAAATATTGGTACCTGGTGCTCTGGTCACATAAATCTCTACATAATGCTGCTTCCACCTATCTATCCTCCCTTATACACAAGTATGTCCCGTCTAGGCCCTTGCGATCTGATGAAGACTTATGTCTATCTTCTGTCTGTACTCCCACCTCTGATGCTCGCCTTCAAGATTTCTCGAGGGCTGCACCGTTCCTGTGGAACTCGCTTAGATGCTAGATGTTAGATGCTCACCCAGTCTCCACTCCTGCAAAAAAATCGTTAAAAACCCACTTCTTCATAAAAGCGTATCAATTGAACTGTTAATAGCTCCCGACTGATTCCTCTTCTGCAACTGTCACTAGGCTAATACTATCCTTATCTTTTTCTGTCATTTTACCCCACTCCCTCTAGCATGTAAGCTCATTGAGCAGGGTCCTCAACCCCTCTGTTCCTGTGTGTCCAACTTGTCTGGTTACCCTACATGTCTGTTCGTCCACCCATTGTAATGCGCTGCGGAATTTGATGGCGCTATATAAATAACATAATAATAATACTAATAATAGATAATCACATACAAAAATACCGGCGCTCCAGGTTTTGGTAAGTAAATTCTCCTTTATTCTAGCGAATCCAAATAGTCAACATTTCAGAGCTTTCATCAGGACGTAAAGTTTATGTCCTATTCCACTAACTAATCTTCCAGGTGGAAGAGAACTGTTTCAAAGAAGAACGTCATCTACAGTATCAAAGTGAAACCAGAAATGGACGTGCCGCCTATTGAGAGGAAACGGAAGTACCGCCATCTTGGATTTTCTATGATCCGACGCACACAACATCCAGCAGCAGCACTTTGATGACATTTACTTTGGGGAAGGGAACTTAGGGAATTTGTTATGTGTTCACCATTTTTTGTAAGTTTTGTATGTTTTGTAAGTTTTGAGAATGTTTTGTAATATGTACCAAATATATCTAAGTAAGTCAGACTACATGAGCTGGTTTACTAAGAACATGCTTCAGAAATATATTAGATATAGTAAAATGCTTAATGGAAAGCAAGGAAGAAACCAAGGACATAATGATAAAGCTAAAGAATTTAATTATGATTTCTCAGATTTGTCTTCGATTTAGAGAAGAAAATTAAAAATAAGTTACAGTTTATGATATATTTGGGCACATATATTCAGAGTGTAAATATATATAGTTTGTTTATTTGAATTTGTAACATATTCAGAAATGGTGGGACCCATGCAAGTAAGAGGGGTATCTGTTGTAATAAAAAAAAAGTTTCCCCATTACCTGGGATTGGCGCCAGGGTACCCCTAGCATCATAACCACTACAATGAGTTACGAGAACAAAATATATATTAATATTTGCTAATATAGTTTTATTTCTTTTCAGTGTAGTTCATATTTTTGTATTGTGCTGTTTTACATGTTAATGAATGATATAAGGAGTAGAGATGTCGCGAACCATCCGCGAACTTCTCGCGAACGGTTCGCCACAGTTCGCCATGAGCTGTTCTCGGCGAACTCCGGTCAGCTGACACGTCCCGGCCAATCTCCAGCAGACCCTCCCTCCAACATGGATGCTGTCCAGGAAGTAGGAGGGTCTGGGAGGGAGGGTCTGCTGGAGATTGGCCGGGACGTGTCAGCTGACCGGAGTTCGCCGCGAACAGCTTGTGGCGAACCGTGGCGAACCGTTCGCGAGAAGTTCGCGGACGGTTCGCAACATCTCTAATAAGGAGTTGTGAAGCAGCACAACATTATTAATAGCACAGATGTTTTTCTACAATATTTGTTTTTTTATTCAAAAACCTATAAATGTATAAAAATGACCCTGTTATATTTTGTTTTCAGAATATTTCAAAACATCATCAAAATTTGGTTAAAAAAATATTTATAATAATAGTAGTATCATAATATTTAACCAGTAAGGGTGCTTTTGGCATTTATTTTAGACTAGGAAGTCGTGTAAAGGGTTAATTGCCTCAGGAAAAAGTCTCAGGAATTAAATAGTAGAGTTAGTGATCAGCCAAGAGTAAAGCTAATTATAATAAAAAGCTACTTCCCTTTATAACCGAAGCCATGTTAGACAATCCATGTATAAAATTATAGGGGTCCAGTAACTCCTTGGTTCAAGACAGGCACTTTATTGAGAACCACAACAGCAACATTTCGAACCCAAGAGGTCATGTTAGACAATCCAGTCTATGTTAGTCTCCTGTCCTATACATAAAGTAACAATTAGTGCACACTATTTAGAAAACTTATTAAGGAGCAAGTCACAAGAGACTACAGTTGTTAACTCCTGTTTTAATATAACAATGCTATGTGGCTACGTATCTGATCAAATAACAATTTATAGTGGTGTTTTACAATAGGATCAAAGAAACTAGTATCTGGAGTAGTTCCGGAAAAACCATGCTCTAAATATGCTCAAATTGAAGCAGCCGGAGCTTTATCTGATAAAGGCCCCTTTGACTTATTCTGTGATGTTGGTATCAAACAGTTCCATATTGGTTCCATATGCCAAAGCAGAAAAGAATTGCCAATAAACTATGGCTCTTTGGCGAACATTAATCATTTCATATAGTTTATAATGTTGTTTGTTCCACCAGGCTTTCTTGATAAAGTAGAGTCTGTAGGTCAAATTGTTAAATCATGTATCTACTTTACAAGACAGATGCTGTTGTGGTGTATTTTGCATTTTTATTTATTAAGTGACTGGGCCGTGAATTCTATTCACTTTTAACTACTTACTGTCAAGTGCTATTTTGTACTTTACAGGAAAAAGTAATTGTGATATGTCCATATTAAAACAAAACGTTTGATCATATTGATTTTGTGCGTTGATGCATATAATATATTTATTTTTTAATTAGAATGTCTGAAAGTTTGAGTAAAGACATAATTCTAACTGGATGTGTTCCAAAAGAACAAAAGATGATTTTACTACACCGCAGATAAGTAAAAAAAAAAAAAAAAAGTAAATGTTGTATAAATGTATTAGTTCCTGTTGCCACACTTTTTGTAATAAACATCCTATCCTTCCTTGATAGGAATGCCAGGTCATCTGGATATAAAAAGCATTTTATTTCTGAGCTACAGTAAAGTTTCACTCCTGCGGAATAGGATTCCTTTTGGGGTAGCAGCATGTGATTAGTATTGAACATGGTTAGACTAAAATTGAAGGCTGTATTCCCCATTTTTTGTTTCACTGTCTTTGTTTTAATTTCTTCTATATTCACTCTATAGGTGATAAAGGCTGATATACACTGAACAAAATTATAAACGCAACACTTATGTTTCTGCCCTCATTTTTTTTAATGAGCTGAACTCAAAGATCTAAGACTTTTTCTATGTACACAAAAGGCCTCTTTCTCTCAAATATTGTTCACAAATCTGTCTAAATCTGTGTTAGTAAGCACTTCTCCTTTGATTAGACAGCATGACTATTGCACAGTTGTGCCTTAGGCTGGCCACAATAAATGGCCACTCTAAAATGTGCAGTTTTACTGTATTGGAGGTCCTCGGCTGGTGTGGTTACACATGATCTGTGGTTGTGAGGCCGGTTGGATGTACTGCCAAATTTTCTGAGATGGCTTATGGTAGAGAAATTAACATTCAATTCACAGGCAACAGTTCTGGTGGACATTCCTGAAGTCAGTATGCCATTTGCATGCTCCCTCAAAACTTGTGACATCTGTGACATTGTGCTCTGAGATAAAACTGCAAATCTTACAGTGGCTTTTTATTATGGCCAGCCTAAGGCACACCTTTGCAATAATCACGCTGTCTAATCAGCATCTTGATTTGCCACACCTTTGAGGTGGATGGATTATCTCGGCAAAGGAGAAGTGCTCACTAAGATTTGTGAACAATATTTGAGAGAAATAGGCCTTTTGTGTACATAGAAAAAGTCTTAAATCTTTGAGTTCAGCTCATGAAAAATGGGAGCAAAAACAAAAGTGTTGCGTTTATAATACTTTTCAGTGTATATTTATTTTAGAATCAAAGATCTTAGCCCCAATGCTGGCCCATACTAGTTTGCAGTTTAGCACCTTGTGCCTGATTGAATCAAATTAAATTCCAATGCTAGGCTCATCAGTAATCACCTGCTTCCCCAAGTCTATCCCTTTCCTCAGATGTAGAGGATTAGACTGTATCAAATATTCTATGCTCTGCCCTTTATTTTGTACTCCCAAGATGTACAATCTTGCAATTATCCACATTGAATATAAGCTCCCACAGCTATGACCATGTTTACAGTTTCCCTAAATTATTTGCCATTTGGCTTATCCCTCCTGGAACATCAACCCTGTTGCAAATCGTTATATAATCAGAAAAAAGACATACCGTACCATCAAGAGCGTCTGCAATATCACTAATAAAAATATTGAAGAGAATAGGTCCAAATACAGATCCCTGAGCTACCCCACCTGTAAAAAGACCTTGCTTTGAATATACTCCAATAACTACAACCCTCTGTTGCCTGTTACTCAGCAACTGCCTTACCCAGTCAACAATTTTGGGATCTAAATTTAAAGATTGCAATTTATAGATAAGTTTTCTATGTGCAACAGTGTCAAAGCCTTACTAAGATCTTGGTAAGCAATGTCTACTGCACCACCCTGATCTATTATTTTATTTACCCCCCCAAAAAAACAAAACAATAATATTAGAAACCCATGTTGTCTCTGGTCTTGAAATCCATGTGATTTTAGATGTTCAACAATCCTATCCTTTAACATTGTTTCCATTACTTTCCCCACTACTAAAGTAAGACTTACTGGCCCATAGTTGCCCGACTCCTCCCTACTACCTTTCTTGGGAATTGGCACAACATTTGCTAATTTCCAATCTTCTGGGACTACTCCCGTTAACAATGACTGGTTAAATAAATCGGTTAACGGTTTTGTTAGTATACCACTAATCTTTTAATTGCTTTGGGTGTATCTCATCAGGCCCTATTGACTTATTTGTCTTTACTTTAAACAGCTGAAATAAAACTGCTTATTCTATAAACTCACGTGTAACAAACTGTTTTTCTCTCATTGACCAGGCTATTGCAATGTTCTGTTGCCTTCAGTAGTGCAACCTTTGAATAATCCCATTTCTCCTGGACTCTATTTAAACCGCCCCGGTATGATAATGACTCCTTCACTAATATTCTAATTTTAGAAAAGTCTGTTTTTCTAAAATCTAAAACTTGTGTTTTTGTGTGGTGTGACTCAGTCACTGTTTTTATATTAAACCACACCGATTGGCGATCACTAAATCCTAAACTTTCACTAATTGTAATATCTTATACCAAATCTCCATTTGAAGGGAGATTCTTAAGGAATAAAAAAAGGAAAGGAAAAGGTCTTGTGGGAAAACCCAACTGATAAGGGCCTAACCCTAGGTTAATTACAGAATATGTTACTTGCGCTCTCTCCTTAATCCCTATGTATATTTAGACAAATGGAGGTAATTTAGTTGCTATATATTGCTATATATTGGGGCTGATGTGTACTGTAGTCATTGCTGCTGGCCCAGTAGTGATGGGAGTGAGCGCAGGACTTCTCTTTTTGTATTTGTATTTACTTTGTATCACACAGCCTTGTTACAATGCTGCCGCCCATCCTATGTGTTCCCTATTAAGGGTTAATAAGTATATAGAGGTGTTTGTAAAAAAATACCCCTCTCTGTCTCATTAGAGATATCTTTGCTAGAAGCTCAAGGAAGAAGGCTGAAGGGTCAGTGTTAGGACCCGCTTAGGGTGGTCTGCCTTGACTTTGGCAGGCGAGCATGCCCTCCAATGGCCATTGGAGCAACTAAATGACCTCCATTTGTCTAAATATACATAGGGTTT